AATTTATTATTAATTTTTTTACTTTCAAAGTTTCTAAATTATTAGGTGATATAAAAAGTATCCGCCGTTTTTTGTGTTTCAAAAAGTCCATGAAATTTTGCAACTGGTGAAACAAGATCGACACCAAAGCTGTCAGAAAAAAGATAGCAATCACACTAAACATCAAACACGTATGAGTTTAGAATCATTTTAAAAGAGCAGGCTACGCAAAGATGCTTGATATTTGGATACCACATGAATTATATCGAAGAAATTTGATTGACCGAACTAACATCAGTAAAATACTGTTGATACGCAACAAAAGCAATGAAAAGCAAGGATTAAATACAATAGTTTCCAATACAACCGAGCATGGACATAAGCCGTTGACCCTCCGCAAGTCTGTTTTGAAAGCAACGATGAGTATGTTTACTGTTTAGTGGTATTAAGAGGCAATTATTTATTAGGAGCTGTTCCAGTCTAGTACAACGGCTAATTTAATCTTCTAATGCTCACAACTCGACCGCTTAAAAGAAACAATCAAGGAAGAATCCACCAAAATTGGCCGCAGTATACATCTGACCTTACATCATCTAACTATCTTTTGTTTCGGCCTCTACAAAACTCTCTAAAAAATTAGCTGATCAAATAGCCGTCAAAAATCACTTGGCCAAATTTTTCTTCGTTAAACTAATAAGTTTTATACCAATAATATTATGAAGCTACCTGGAAAATGACAGAACGTCATAAAAAGTAATAGTTAAAATAAATTTCATTTACTTTTAACTTATATGAGCCAATATTTATTTCTCATATAATTAAAATTAAGACAGTACGTTTTTTGCTTACTTCATTGTTGTCTTCATTATTTTAAGATGATGTTACGCATTTTCCACAAATTTCATATTCTACAATAATTATAATTAGTGACTTCTACATTAACAGCGTAGGATACAATCTTGCAGCGATTTTTAATTATCCCAAAATAATTCCACAAACCTTATAGAGTTGCAATATAATCTACGATTGATCAATGTTACATTATTCTTGCTTTAGAACTCATCCCTTCTTGCTAGAATATATTAAATAAGGTAAAGTAAATAAGGTTTCTTTATTGTTTAATTTTTTTCTCTTTAATAATTTAAAATTTAATATACTTAGCAATAATCACTTTATGGCAATATGTCAGATAGAGTAAGTCCGCTATCCGCGCTACGGTTGCTTTCCAAATTCTTCCAATGAAATTGAATATTCGCGAAGTTTCATAAGAATTACTCTTTAATTCCTTTTTCCTAAATGTTCTGATATCAATTTTTTGTAATGTTAAAACAATTGTTTTCAAATTTAAATAATAATTTTTACTATTTTATACAAATAAGTGCTTCTAAAATCGTTATTCGAATATATAAAAATATATAATAATATATATAATATTATAATATATAATGTATTAATTATAAAATTTTACATAAAAATTTCCATCTTATTTAATTTTTTTAATTATTTTATTATACATTGAATACTGTACAAAACACTGTCATTAAATTAGAGTATAGTAGATCATATTTTTTCAAAAGTAGAAACTGAAATCTTAATTAAGCTAAATTCAATAAACTCCTATTTCAAATTGTAAAAGCACAATTTTAAATTGTAAAAGAAAACAAAAATTAATTGGAACGAAAATATAATCTCACAAGTCAAATGTAAGCAAATCTGTAGAACAGTATTAATTATGATTGAAACAAATATAAAATAAATTTCAATGAATGCTTTACATTCACAAATCAAACTTAATTAAGAACAAAATATATTATATTATCCAATAACACAATACTTAAAATTAAAAGTTAAACGAAAAACATACAACAAACAACCTTCTTCCTTGCTATCCTTTAGCACACTAAATTTAAATATGAATTGATTAACTGAGCACTTAACAACGAACAGAACACAGATACTTACTTACACCACTGCAAAATATCACACCAAAATTAAGCTTAACCATACCAAGAAAAAAAACAAATCTTCTCTGTTAGACACATCACACCATCACATGTTGCTAATGTTAGCACAGCTGTAGCTACAGCTGCTGCTAATGTTGCTGTGTTTCTTGATGTTACAACTCCGAGTAAAACATTCTGCAATAAAAATATTAAAGCTTTGATGTTGCCGCGCTTTTCGGCTCCTCCACGGACACCTAAGATGCGAAGGGAGCATGTGCGCCAAAAAATACGATTGTTGCTATCTTAGAATTTTGTTATTTGTAGTCTTCACGTTGTTGCTGCTGTGTTTGTTATTGGTTACGTGCGTCAGGTTGTTCACTTGATTGCATGAATAAATGTATTGAGGATATGAATCCTTAGAGAAATTATGTTCTAACAACCACTCCTTTTGTATGTATTGTAAATTCAGTTCTTAGCCAATCATAAATGCTGACAAGCAAGAAATTGAAACATGTAACGATTTTGCCATTATGCATACAACCAAGGTTAATTTATATAATTAAATTTTAAATTTTGAACTATCTAACTTTTCGTTAAGAACTAAATAGTTAAATAAATGGGAATTGAAAATAATCTTATAGCTTAAGTTAGTGATGTATTTGAAAAATTTTTGTTTTGATATTAAATTTCTTAAATATAACGAAAGACAAGAAATTTTATATTTCCTAATGGGAAACACATTACATTTGATAATATTAAAATTTATTTAACATATATTTTTGTTAAACTTATTAATCATATTAATAATATTTTTATGATAGGAGCACTATTGGATCTATAAATGATTTCATATATGTAGATTGTGTATTTATAATGTAAAAATATTGCCACTTTGAGCCTCGATATCACGAGAAGTAAGCTATAACAACATATAACGGAGTTAAAGAAGTTGCTTAAAATGGTTAACTCTAACAACAACTGAATAAGTGAACTCTTACTACATAACTATATATGAAAAAATAAATTTTTGTTAAGAATATTAGTTAATTTAATACATTTTTGCATTAGTTGACTGCTTCAATTCGCAAATGCTTACCTTGCTATAAAAATGTATTGAAATGTGTTTGCGTTTGTTCATCAACATGTTGCTGCAACATTGTGGAAGCCATTTGAGAACGCAATAAAGTATATTTCAAAAGCTCAAACCTTTTGATTATTCAAATAATTCTTTAAAGAAAATTTTGATACATGATAATAACATTATATTATATTCACTACGTTATATTATATATATATATAAATATTATAATATAATATAATTATGTTAAAATGCTTATAGTCTAAATATAATAATGTTTTGATATTTCAAGAAGAACCACACTCAACTATTTGTTATAGTATTTAGTGGTAAATTATTTTTAACACTAATTCAATTTTTATTCATATATATGAATCTTAAAAACTCATTTTTGAATATTAATGAGTTTTTTATAACAAATTTATTTATAATCATGATTACTCGTAACAAGTAAACGTTTGTCATAAGAGTTATCTTATTAAATTAAACAAGTTCTGGAAATATCCTTTTTGTTTAAGAATCTTTAAAAATTGTATGACAGGGAAATCATTTTAATATTGAACAAGATACTAGATATTGAAGTCAGCTACTAACTCCAAGGTGATATAAAATTATAAAAACTCATAAATGATATCCCAATAATTGTTGAATACTGTTTATAGGTCCATTACATTAGTGCATTTATTGTTCTTTAAAAAAATAAATACTAAATAAGTTCAACAATAAAAAACGTTTTATTTAGTTCAGTCCGAAAGCTGATAAATATAATAAAAAACATATTTTAATAATGAAATAGTACCATAGCCTTCAGTATTCTGTCATAATAGTATTAAGACAGAAGGAAGCGCAAGGAATCTTTTTGAATAAATTAATGATATTGCTAAACTATTTATAACAAATATTCACCGCCAGAGATATCCGATACGGTGTTGTTTCAGAATTAACTGCTTTCTTAAATTCCATTTATTATAGTCAATCTACCAAAGATATCACTCATAACTAAAGCTTTAAGAAAATATATGTTAAAGGTTTTTAAAAGATGGTATCATTTACTGTCATATCACTCAATAAATTTTTGGTCTGTCACATACATGACAAAACTAACGACAAGTCTATATGAATTGTGTACACAGCATCCTGCATCTTAAAATTATTATGATGTATTCCAATTATTTCGAAAAGCATAAAGAGGTCCACTAAAAAGTTTGGAAAGGCCTTAAGGTGAAGTTATGTAAGATGGCCGACGGCCTAAAGATACATCACGTAGGTGGGTCTTAAGTTGATGAAAGGGATGATAAGTAATATTAAGTATATTACCTCACCCCACCCAATGTATTTCTCTGTTTCCTAGAGATTACTGTGTATTTTTGCAGACAGCAGAAACATTATCTAGTGAACGAAAGTGGTTTTGAGTACTTTTTTGAGAGCTCAGATAAATCGTTCTAAAAAAAGACGTCTAAAAGTCAGAGAATCATTGGAATGAATGTATGTATGTATTATTATTAAGACTTATTAAGGGATGTATTATTACGATAAATAAAATAAATATAGAATTTAATCTTTATCGTAGTTTAATTCGCAAACACTTTAGTCGACTTGAAAAGTTCCTTTGTTTCCAAATAAATATAACTCGGGGGTTTTGGGCAATACCTAGGCAGCAACTGATATGGAACATTGTTTAAACTTTAAGTCAAGGTGTTGTGTTTATTACGAACACATTATAAAAAAAATTTGATATATACACTAAATAACTTTGCTTTAGTCCGCGTAAATGAAAACACTGTTCGAATTCGAATTGAACTATAGTCTATAGAACAATATATACTTTAATTACATAGTTGAACTTATACATATTTATGGAATTCTTGATGTCATTTCTTTCTGTATATATTTTATAATCATTCTCTCACTTATTATAAAAAAGAATTAATATATTTATTTTATATTTAAACTTAAAACTAATGTACTCGTATAATATAATTTAAAAAAAGTCCATAATGAGAAAAGATGTTAAACATCATATATGAAATAATCAACGAGGTTTCAAACCTATTTGAAAACCATTACTTGATTTCAAGACAATTTTAACTTCCAAACGCATTTCATCGCCATATGGTAAAATTTCATAAGCAGTCAATAATTGTGCTATCAAGCATTTCATTAGTAACATCGAAAAGTTTTGAGCAGGACAGTTCCTTGGACCCATGCTAAAAGCGGTCAAATTGCTTGTATTGTTGGAATCAATATCGAAATATCTCTCAGGCATAAATGTTGTAGGATTATCAAATTTCATTTCATCCCTCAACATATGAAAAATACTTATATAGATCTCGGCACCAGCAGGAATGATCCCATCACCAACAACAGAATGTGCTATTTGAGAAAAATGAAACAATGAAATTCATAAATAAACGACAATTATTACATATATAAATTAAAAGATATATTATGTAAAATGAAATAAAAATTCTACAAAACTGTATAGTTACTTTTACTTACTGTATTCAAAGTTTTTATTTAGTTCTCGACAAATGATTGGTTCTGATGGATAAAGACGAAGTGTTTCCTTAATAACACACTCTAGGTACTTTAGTTGTTTGAGTTCATTGACACTATAGAAGCAATCTGTTGGCCAAACTTTCTGTATTTCCTCATAAAGTTTATATTGTACACTGGGGTGTCGAGCGATCATAACAAGTGTGAAGGATATGGCAGATGATGTGAATAGATAGCCTTGATAGAGAAATGTATTAATTTCACTACTTATTTCTTCATTTGTTAAAGACTCCGATGCAATTGTTGATCCCAATAAAATATCCAATAAAGTTGTATGTTTCATTGATAATATTTTTTTATGATTGCTTATTCGAATTGTAAAATTATTATTATTATTAAGTTTGTTATTTAAGCTTTGTACACGATATTCCTCAATTATTTCGTGGTTAATGTGATTTATGGTTTTAATCATTCGTTTTAGACGCCTCCTTGTGAAGGGGCGTAAAGTCGCATATGTTATGTTGTTAGCAGAGTGAGCATGGAAAAAACGGTCCATGAGAATTTCTGTTAAACTAAATAACAAAAACGTTTTTTTTTTACAAAAATATATAATGAATAAAAAATACAAATATTTTATATTTATTTCTGCCCTAACAAGCTGAAATTGTTTGTCCTTTTAGATATATTACCTAAAAATATTTTTTTTAAAATAATTTTTATGTATTATTCACTGTTTCTTCACAATCAGCATATGATAAAAAGGAAACTTTCGAACAGTAGAAAGGGTTCGAACAGTAATGTAGCAACAACAACTACAAAAATATTGATTAGTTTACTAAAATTTGACTGACCATACACCGCTGGTTCGAATTTTATTTTATATCGCTTTTTTATTAATGAATATACTCTTCTGTAGCACCCTGCATCTCTGTCATATTCAAATATGATATTCCTCACTTCCAAATGATAACTTTTTTTATAGTTAGACCAGCAAAAACATACTCACTTAATAACACACATAAGAATTAAGAAATAAATTTGTGGTTACAAAAATAAAACGGTACAGCATTTTCAGCTTCTCCAAATGTTTTAGCTGGTTTCACATCCTGGCTTTTCCTTCATATAGGATAACAAAATGGGCCAAAAGGCCTAAGTGGATTCCCTAGAAATCACCAGTATAACCTAACCTAACCTATATACATATATAAAATATATGAATATATAATCCACTAGATAATTTTTCTGTTTCTTTAATCTCCCACGTTTCTACCGTTTAACTCACAAATTTTCCGTATATTTATTATATACAGTGTTACCTTGAAAATAAGGGTCCCGACCACGTGAATGACACTTCCTACTCTAAAATGTAAAAAAAGTTCTTAAACGTTAACAAAAATTCTAAGCTTCATTAGTTAACGTTTTCAAAATACATATATCGATAACCATGTAAGTGGTTATGAAGTCATTACAGTGACAAAGCTCCAGTCAGCAGATAACTGGATATTTGGACACAAAAATAGACAAATCCAGACATATAATAAATTTAAATTAATACTTACTCTTCCACTGTTTTAGCATATTCGGAAATTTCTTCGGTCTGCGCATCTCCTTTAATACCTAAAGTCGAAGCTGTAACAATAAAAAATATAGCATAATATAAGAACTATTATTTGTTTAAATTGTTTCTTTCTTACCTATAACAATATCTAGAACCGCTTTGGATACGAAATTATGTACATCAAATGAATTGTTTTCTTTACTTTTGCATCTCAAACGTTCAACTAAAATATTTGATTCGGCAGTGAAAATCTCAACGGCGGTTTCCAAAAAATTTGGTTGAAAAAAGTGACTTATAAGCTTTCGCCTATTCTGCCAAGAATCACCATCGCTTAGAAGTAAGCTACCATTTAGCCATAATTTTGGTAAGTTGTAACCTGTATTAGTATAGTCCGCATGTTGCAGAAGCTGTGTAACAAACTCATAATCCGCAGTTGGTATAAATAGACGATCGAAGACCCAACAACGTGAAAGAGTACCAAAATTGGTTAAATAATTTTGTGATTTTTTAAAATAATCTACAAATATGAAAAATATATTAATATATATATATTAAAGCCTAATATATTTATAGTCACAATTATAGAACTTACTTTTTGACGATAGTATGAACACTTTTTGCATGGAACCCCACAAAGGAAATGTGAAAGGTCCTTTTAAGTTGGTTATAAACGCGCGTTGTTTACGCGTTTTGAAATAATTGAAGGCAGATGCTAAACAAAAACAAACAAAAATTGTTATTAAAATCATATTAATTCATTGGTGGTCTCGTGTGAACTAAACACAATTACCTGATATTTAAGAATAATTTTTAATTTAATTACTTTCGGTTGTAATCTCATTTAATGACCCCGATAAGTCGTATTAATAACTTTTATCAAAAATTTTTATAATATTTTGCTTGAAAAATTCTTAATTTTTATTGATAAAATAGTTTATTAATGGATTTGATAACTGATATTAACAAATCCAAAATATTTACGCACAAAAAGTGCGTCAATGTATCAGTTTTGTGCATCACTTAAAATATTGTTATTTTGGGTAACAAAACTGCACTAAAAAGTTTTCTTTGTTCGTTGAACATATAACTGAATATCACAGAATATTTATATTTATTGAACTAGCAATAAAAAGTTGGTCCTATTTTTCATGGGCAGAATGGGGCAGTATGTGGAACATAGACGTTCTCACGGTGCCCCTATTAATCCTAGCAACCTTCTCAAAAATTTGGTAATCAACTCTAATGGATCAAAAGGTAGGAGACAAACGAGAGTTAAAAAACCGTTGTAGACGAAACAACGGTATAAGGCGTTGGCGGAGGAAGAAGTACATTAAGTCAACGGTAGCGTCTATAACTCCAAAGAGTCGGGTTACCTGAAACATTATTTCATTATTACATAGGAAGATTTGTGCCATTTAATCACATACTCAAGCAATTATACCCAAGAAACGGCAACACACTCTCCGTATTTCCGCCCTTAGCTCTTACTAAGACCGGTGTCTTTACCCAAAGTACACCAAGGAAATACGAGGGCGGTTTGAAAGTCTGTGAGTTTTTGAATAAAACATATTTTTTTGCGGCAAATAAATATTTTATTTTTCTACATAATCACCTTTTAGATCGATACATTTAGTCCAGCATTTTTCTAATTTTATTATACCCTCCAAATAATAGCTTTTCTCAAAGCTCTCAAAATACGCGTTTGTTCCGGTAATGAATTCTTCATTCGACTCAAATCTCTTACCGCCCAGCCATTTCTTTAGGTTTGGAAACAGAAAATAGTCGCAAGGGGCTAAATCTGGAAAATATGCTGGATGGGGTAGCAGTTCGTATCCCAATTCGTGGATTTTGGCCAGTAATGCTTAATCAGCACATGAAATTCACTTTTTTTCAATTTTCGTAAAAATTTACGAGGTTGTCTGCTTTGTACGTCTATCAAACACTAACTGAACGACGTAGCTTGCTCAAAATTACAAAATTGCCCACTGGTAGATTACAGTTGACGGCATCACTGTTACATTTGAAGTAACTGAGCGGGAAATTTCAAAAGTCAATGACTTATCAAACCGCCCTCGTAATAATAATAAAATTTTCATGTAGTCCCATTTTAAGACTAATTTAATCCACCTTAAAATATTAATTAATTAGAGCATAAAAAATATTAAAAATTGAGAATAAGACACACTTAAGAAATCTATTCACTTCTTATCTTGAGTTTTCATTCCGTTCTTATTACACTTTTTCAAGTGTCTACAGAGGAAGCAATCAACACTATAATCCATGAATGCGATTTTTACCCTAGATATGGTTTCCTTTACTCAAAGTTTACTCTGAATATAACTATTTCCAACTTTGATATAGTCTTGTTATATGAAATCAAAAGAAACTACAGCACTGTTAAATAAATTGGTAATAAACTTCTAATTAAATAAAGAAATAATTATTTTAAAAATTATTTTTTGTTTCAGAAGTAATAGGCTAGAAGGAATAATAACTTATTAATTTAATTTTCCATTTAAAACTGAGTGAAAACAAACTCGAATAGATTTCGCAACAGTATTATTTTCTTCTTATGTTTATTTCCGTTGGGCATGCTTGGACGGAAATTAAAACCCCACCAGCTGTGAAAAAGCCCATAAGCAGGGCCTTCAACAGCCGTCAAATGAAATTTTTGTGAAAAGGAAGGGAGAGTATTTAAAAATCTAATTAACACACCCAAACTGACAGTTTGCACCAATTCCCAGGTTTTTTATTGTTTTTATTTTTGTTTTTTTTTATTTGCAATAACTTTTATTTGGTTTTATTTGTGAAGTACGATTAATGTAACACGAAATGGGTATTCATTTGTTTGTATCTGCAAGATACATTTTCACATACGCATTAACTTATCATATGTATATACAAACAATGTACATATAAGTTTTTGCAGTTATACATATACTACATATATGTCAGTCCACGAAACAATTTCAGTCGGTGGTCCTTCGAGAAAAAACTCAGATTTTAATTCTATTATTTTATTATTGTTTTATTTGCTTTATGAGAAACGCTTTCATTTTGTTTTTCATATAAAGCTACAAATTTGAGAAGTATTTTAAATAAAGAAACATCCTTTACTTAACTCCTTATAAGTTCAATAAAAAAAATATTTTTATAAAATGTTATTTACACTAAAAACATATTTCACCTATGTTATATATCTAAAACTTACATTCTATATATATACAAATAATGGTTTATTTTTTTTTAGTAAGTTTTGTACTAAAAATAGTTTAGGATAAATAAATATTTATAATGAAAATAATATAAAATATTTTACTTTTATTTTTATAGAAAATTTTTTTTATATAAACATATTTAAAAGTGAACATATTTTATTTTTATGTTTATATGAAATATATTTTAAGAAAAATAAGTAACTATTTTAAGAATTTTATGCTCGTATTTTAGGCTTATCTGGTATTCGATTTATGACAAATTGATATTGATATTCAGATGTCTGAGTTGGTGAATCAGCACCTTTACTCTATTTTATCTGTGGACAGTTTTAAGTCACACTAAATACGGGGCTTTACGGGGCTTTATAATATGATGGATCTGATGTCTTTGTATCTGCCTGTGTTTATCAAATTTCGCTGTATTTTTAGGATACTGAGTGTTGGATTATTGTGACTGTCAATTATATTGAGCAGTTTCAGAGCACGATCTTTAATGTATTTTTCAACTGAATCCACTCTCAGATCTCTGTGGATATCGGCTCCTCTTACATACCATGGGGCGTTAACCAGTTTTCTTAACCAGTTTTTCTTAATTTTCTTAAATTTTATTATTTTTTAATCATATTATTGTTTAATTTTTTTATTGTTTAATTTTTAATTGTCATGGTGTTGTTATCAGACCTAAAATATAACTTTAAGCAGGTACTTTATATATATAGTGAAGAAATTCCATTGCAATACAAAAGCATTAAATATTTCGAATAAAGTTTTTATATATATTTAAATTCAAATAAATAATAATAATTAGAAAATGTATTTTTATACATTTTAGTACTTTGAGCAACTATTCCCACTACTTTGAATGCCGATATAGCTGAAAATAACAGGTTTCAAATTTAAATATGCATTTTTAAAAATGCATTTTTATGCTAGAGTTTGTATTTAGTCAACCCATTTACTCTTTTATGAAGATGATATATCGTATATATCTTGGGCAATAGGTGTTATATCGCACATATTGACTAGAATGAATCACTTGTTTCTAATATCAAAATTTGAAGTTGACCATATCTTTCACGGAGGTCAAAAAAATTGTTAGCTTTTAACATATTTAACTCAGAATACACACAATTCACAGTATCAAAGACTTTCAGGGCCCTATGTTTAATTTATATTGTAATGCTTTCAACTTTCATATACTTTAGTATGTAGGATTTTCTTACAATACACCTCGGCCTTCCCCACTCTTCTTTTATGTTTTTATGTTAAATTCGCTTAAATTTGATTTGCCAAACACTTCGAAGTCATCAGTAAGGTAAGTCCTATAATATATTTATTTGTTTACTAAAATTTAGCATTTATAATTTTAGTTTATTGCCGGAGTGTTAGTTTAATTTTTTCTTATACTTCTTATTCTTATTATTCTTTCTTTTTATTTTCTTATATATACACTATTTTCTCTTAAATGCTCATTCCATAATTACTTTGTGTGGAAAGTCTAAGATATTTCACTATAGGCTACCACTTAATGAAAGAGTTATTTACTAGTACTTTTTTTAGGTATTCATATCTTCTGCTGGTGATATATATGGCTTTTGAAATATGGCAAATTTTACTTGGTTAAATATCATTAGTATCAGTATCAATAAGTATTATCAGCAAAAAAATTATCTTATCCATGCAAAAATTAAATATACTAGCCTAGAGTCAATAAACTATTTTATTAACTCCATACTAACTGAAGTGCAAGAACCAGTATGTAGTACGAATCTCATCTGTATGGAACGAAGCAGAGAAGACAGTTCTTAAGTTCACATTTAAATAGTATAAACCAATTAAAAAGAAAAATATCGTTTATACAACCATAGTTTATTATCTGAACAAACAGTATAACATATATAATATACAAAGATCTCGAGACAGTGATATGATTTTAAAAATTATAGTGAATTTTATTAGTTTTATTACTACTTCTTTTCTTTTTTAAAATATGATACTTTACAATAGCGTTAGCGATAACATGTACTTTATTATGAAAAATAACAATTCTTGAATTTATATTGCAATATAATTTTCTATTGTTTGAAATTTGCGACAATTCTCTTGTTGTTCATAATCAACTCCACTTTTGGGTGTTCTCGAGGCACGATAAGTGCTTTCAATCTACGCGATATGTTTCTGCTATATTTAAATCAAAGAATCGTTACTTTGACCTACGTATTGCATGACCAGCTCTGTCTTATTTTTCTTTGTTTCATTATTTTCCAGTCTTGTTGAGTATTTTGAATACATATTGATTTAAAATGTTGTCTAGCCATTCTAGTCTCACAATCACACGACCATACTTCATTCTTTCTGTAACAATACATATCTTCAAAACACTTCTACACATCCACTATATAAGCTCTATATAAAAAAAATTGACCCAATAAAAGATTTCACTGAACGTATTTTTATTTAAAGATTGATTCTTCGGTTACTAGATATCTTTTGTAAATATGTACACTGCAAAGATTCAAAACCGGTATCTG